TTTTTTTTTTTTTATTTACTTATGCCCCAGAATGGTTTCCATAACAAAGGAATTCTCCTGCTTCTGGGAGGTTTAGTAAGATGTTTATAAACTATCTAGCACTGAAGTGTTTTTAGGCATAGATCGCAGATCACCTTTATACATTTTCCAACAATTATTGATCAATTTAGATTTTCTGCCTTTCCCTGACTCTGTTTCATATATTTTCCTATGTAATTAAACATTTCATCAAGACTCTCAAGTTCATGGGTATACAGTTGCATGCAGAATTTTCTTATTATATGGGACGCCTGGGTGGCTCAGTTGGTTAAGCGTCTGATTCCTGATTTTGGCTCAGGTCATGGTCTCGTGGTTGTGAGATCAAGAGTTGGGCTCAGCGCCGGGCGTGGAGCCTGCGTTAGAGTCTCTCTTGCCCTTGCCCGCTGCCCCTCCCCCACTTACACTATCTCTTGTTCTCTCAGGCTCTTTCTCAAAAAAAAAGATTAGGGGCTGGGTGAGGCGTCCCGGTCGGGATAACGTCCGACTTCAGCCTTGCAGATCTCGCGGATCCGTCAGTGTTTGAGCCCCTACGTCAGGCTCTGGGCTGATGGCTCACGAGCCAGAACTGTTTTCCGATTCTGTATGTCTCCCTCTCTCTGCCCCTCCCCCGTTCATGCTCTGTCTCTCTCTATCCCAAAAATAAATAAACGTTGAAAAAAAAAATTAAAAAAAAGATTAAAAAAATTTCTTATTATTTAAAAAAATCCCCTTTATATCTAGAATTATATGGATTTTTTTAGTCTTCTTTATTTTTAACTTATCAAAATCATGGTCATTTCAAAGAATCAGATTTTCTTGATCAATTATTATTTGACCAACTATTATCTTGATCAATTTATTGATCAATATTATTATTTACAATTTGAAGTGATTATTTTCTGCTTTTATCATTATCCATTCATTTCTTCAGTTTTGCTTCCTTGGCCATTCTTTGCCTAGCATTTTGAGTTGACATCACGGTCACTTTGTTTTTATTCTTTCTTTTTTTTTTAATAAATGTGTTTAAGATTATGCATCTCACATAATTTTCTATGCATTATGTCATTTTCATTCATTTTTAAGTATATGCCATTTTGCCTTAAAATTGTTGTTAATGTTGGGGCGCCTGGGTGGCACAGTCGGTTAAGCGTCCGACTTCAGCCAGGTCACGATCTCGCGGTCCGTGAGTTCGAGCCCCGCATCAGGCTCTGGGCTGATGGCTCAGAGCCTGGAGCCTGTTTCCGATTCTGTGTCTCCCTCTCTCTCTGCCCCTCCCGCGTTCATGCTCTGTCTTTCTCTGTCCCAAAAATAAAAATAAAAAAAACGTTGAAAAAAAAATTAAAAAAAAATTGTTGTTAATGTTAAAAGAGTGTATGTGTGTATCTGTAACATTTTGCAAACATGCTATTTTGCTTGAAAAAA